TAGATCATATATATATATATATATAAGTTGTGTTTAGTGATGAGAGATTCATTGTGAACTCTCCCTAGCTAACAATGTATGTTGATTTTCACTATTGTTGTGAACTGGTGTAGCAGATTTCTTCGATTCGTAAAATATAGTAGCTCTCTCTCTTTATCGTATATTATCTGCATGTTTAATGTTTACGGCCGGATAATTTGTTGGAAACTTAAACCCCGTATGCGGTTGCGGACATGCCGAAGAATCATATCGAAAATGTAACTTAGTTTGATTTGTGTAACTGTGCACCGAGGGTCAAATCTCACTGATAGTCGCTCATCTTAGTGTTCAGTCTCACTTTAGTCCCTCATGTTCCAATTATCTCATTATCATCCTCCAACTCTACAATCTATCTCAATATAGTCCTTTGGTGCATAATTTAGTTAACTTTAACGCAATCTTTTATTTATTGAATGAAATATTCTATTCTTATAATTACTTGTAATAAACTATAAACAAATTAATAAATACTACAAAAACATATATAATTAAATTAGTTCTTTAAATATGTTTCTAAATTCAAGTCATATATATATATATATATATATATATATATATATATATATATATATATATATATATATATATATATATATATCCACAAAATAAATGATTCGTTTTACATTAATATAAATTAATATTTCGTAAAAATAGTAGTTGTTTAAGTCATATATTTATAAGTTATATTTTTGTTGGTTGTAAACATTATTTATAAATTGCAAACTTTATTATTTATTGAAAAACGTCATAATTTATCAAAAATAATTCTAACAATGTAATATTCCATCTGTTTTTAAAAAGATTCCGTTAAAGTTAACATGTTTATACACCAAAGGATGATAATGAGATGGATTATAGAGATGCGGGATGAAAATGAAACAATTAAAACTTGAGAGACTAAAGCGAGACTAAATGTGAAGATGGTGGACTATTAATGAGATTTGACCTAAAGTTTTAACTGTAATACTTTGTATTGTAATGATAAATATAAAATATATATAAACTTACATAAGAGTGTGGAGAAAAAACAAAATACCAAAAGGATCAAAATGATATTTACAAAAAACATTGGGGGCCGGGGCTAAAATTCATATTCACAAATTATGTCAAAAATTACTTATTATTATTATTTTTATTTTTCTAAAATCTTTGGATATGATGTTTTAGGAGCTGATAAGCTGTTAGGTCTTATTTTAAAAATTATTGTTTAAGGTAGGACTGTGCATGGATCGGTTTTAACCACCAACTCACCCATTTTCGACCCATAATTTGTGATGGATGATCAACCATCAACTGACCCATTTAAGTTGGGTCGATAATGCCAACCAACCCATGTATAGTTGGGCCGATAATGGTTTCTAATATACTAAAAAGTTGATTAGTCGGGTAATATCGGCCAACCAACTTTATTTATTAATTTATTATTTATTAATTTTATTTAAAATGTTTAATATTTTTAAGTTCAAAATTCTATTTTATATCACATTTATTAAATTATCTAATATTGACCAAAACCCTAAAAGTAATAAATCTAACCTAATTATCTAATTTGAACTATTTTAATTTTAAGACATATAGCCTAAATATTTAGACGATTATTATTTGTTAAACTATTTATGTTTAATTGCAATACATATGGCCCCTAATGTTTTGAGTTTTTTATTTGAATATTGTTGAACTAGTCATAGTAAATTTATAAAAGATATAGCGTTGTAACAACTAATAAAATATTAAACAAAATTAAAACATATTTAGATGGTTGACCCATCAACCGACCTACTAAATTGGTTTTCAACCATCACCCAACCCATGTAAATTGGGTCAATAACGGTTTTCAATATTTACCAAACTTGGTTGGATGGGTTGGGTTGGTTTTATGACTGATTTTTAACCAACTCAACCAACGCACAACCCTAGTTTAAAGTGTTTGAATATGTAGCTTATAAGTTACTTTTAATATTTATAAGTTACTACGATGTTTGGAAATATAAGGTATGTTTATCGCCGTAATGACAAAAAAATACATGACGCCATTATAACTATTAGAGTGTTAGACTTATATGACTCAAATGTTTTTTTTTTCTAAAATATTATTATCATATTTACTAATTATTTTTTTCAAATAAAAATAATAACATAAAATTATATATGTAATAAACTAATTCATTTTTTTAATATTAATATGACATGTGACTATTATTTTGAAATAAAATGAAGTGTGATAAAATATTTTAATGAAACAGGTATGTGAAAATATTAATTTTTTCCCCATTAATATATGAATATTAAATAAAGTTCTTATTTTTAAGAGAGATATCATATATTGTTGAAATAATAATAATATTCAGATATTTTATATACATATAAAATATAAATATAGAATATTTTTCTTTCACAATTATTAGGATAATTTTGATAATTATATTGTAACTGTTTATTAATCTTGATAACAAGAATATGTTGTTTCGATAAAATATATATGTTATTCGCACTTATGTAATATAAAAAAGTATTGGAGGGTAACTTTGTAATTTGAGTGTTTCAGTAAATAAGCAGATAAGATCTTAAAGAAAAAATATGAGGTAGGTACTTTTTAAAAAACATTTTATAAACTCCCTAACAGCTTATTTAAAAAAAATTATAAACATTTTTAACAACTTATAAGCTCTTAAACATCTTAAATGATGTTTTTAGGAACTTATAAACTCAGCCAAACATGCTCTAAGTCCCGCTCCTACTCAGTGGAATCTTTTAAATTCCACAAGTCTTCGCATGTTAAAGACTTTGGTGAAAATACCAATCTTATTGTTCGCAATCTTTAAGTGACTATTTTATGCACCTCAATAGCTAAATGTTACATAGTTATTTTTTACTGTTTTTTAGATCTTATATAAAAGAGTTCATTACAGATTACCCATCGAAGTACGCCCCTTATAATAGATACCTATAATGTACCATTTGTAACAGATACCGTTTGAAAATGTTGGTTTGCCGCATGATAACTACTGAAAAATATAATCGTTCGGCTACAGACAAAATTACCCTTCGATTTGTTATATATATAGACAAGCTTATTACACACGCATTTCATCCAATTTTCAGCACATTTCATACTTTTAACTCACATGTTGCCAGCAAATTTTACTCATATTTACACATTTTTTCACAACAAATACATTGAATTATCATGACTATTTATTTTAAGAATTTGTTTTTACACGATGTCGGGGGTTCTTGCTCTGGAAATTGTCGTTTCACACGGGATTCACGTTGCTCCTCTAACTATTACATATCTAATTTTACAGGTATAAATTATAGGTGCGCAAGATCCGCACCAATTCGTTGGACATAAAAAAAACCCCGGTAGTAAAATGAGTTTACAAGTTCATTATCCAAACACTTTATAAATTAATTGTAAAAATAAGACGTAACAGCTTACCAACTCTCAAAACAGCTTATCAAATATAAGAATTTCTCCAACTGTTTAAAATAAACTTAGCCAACGAGCCTCTGCATTTAAAGGATTTAAGCACATGGAACTTGATAGTTAATATTGGATTGAATTAGAGCTTTGCATTTCTACTTTAGTAGCCCATTTAATAGCCATGCCTGAAATAGAGTGGCCCATTTGAGGTCAATTCGATTAGTCCAATTGTGGGTGGGTTGACTTTCTCTCTCCTGTTTTAACTTTGGGATTATTTCATTATTGTATAAACCAAAAATTGGCCTAATATTATTAAAAATTCACAAAATATATTCCAAATTTTAAAACTACCTTAGTATGATTTAGGTAATATTTTACAAATATGAGTTTTGGTCCCCCATCTTTTAGTAAATATAGGTTCTAGCAGGGTTCGCCAGAATGGCCGGAACGGCCGTTCCGGAACGGGAACGGTGCCCGCCGTTCCGGAATCCCTAATAAAACCGTTCTCTCCCCTTTGACGCGGTGGACCACCGTTACGGCCGAGATTTAGCCGGGAAACGGCACCGGAACGGCCCAGGAACGGCCGGAACGGTCTGACCTTGACGAAAAAGAAAAAAAAAAATTGGGAACGAGCCCTTGCGAAAAATGAGATGTATAAAACCAAAAAGTAATTTTTTGGAGTTAAGAGCTATTTTTTTTTGGGATAATGAGATCCCACTAATCCCTCTAATTCCCTATTAATAGGAGAAAGTAACAATAACTAAAACATGACTATAAGTTGTGTATTTAACCCAAAAGGAAATAGCAATAATAAATATTTTTTTAAAGAAAATAATAAATAAAATTGAATTTAATTCTTAAAAAATGGAAAATGAATATCAAAATAGAAATAATAAATAAATATAGAAAATTCGAAAATATATATATTATTTAAATTTTATTTAAATTTTTTTGCTTTCAATATTCTGTTACTTAAATATAATCATTTTAATTTGGAATTAATTCATCACATAATATGTTTTACTACAAATAAACATAAATATGTGTTTTTATTTTTGTTTTTAATTTATTTAAATCTAATTTGTGTGTATATATAAGTTTTTTTATTAAAAAAAGAAAAGAGTTGAATAAAAGAATTGAAAAAAAAATTAAAAAATAAAATATAACATTTTTAATAATTTTAGCATATTATTGTATTCTAATATTGGTATTAAAAATATATTTGAAACAAATTATATTTTTAGCATTTTAATTAAAATTTGTCCGTTCCGGCCGCGACGGAGCCGCGACGGAACCGCGACGTTGCAATGGAACTGGAACGGCAGTGGCCGCGACACTAGATTGTTCTGTGCCGGCGAACCATGGGTTCTAGTCCCTTTATTTCTTTTTGTTTTTCTCCATACTCTTATGTGTATATATATATATATATATA